GATCGCTTAAATACCAGTCTGGGATTGTACTATTTATGTCCAAACAAATGGAGGTTAAGCAGTGCTAAGGATTATAAATCATCATTTATTACCTCTAGGCAAACAGAACGAGAGATCAAAGTGCTCCTGCCATTCCCTCTACTTGCGAAATGAGTGTCTTTATCAGTTAGTCGGGAGTGGAGTATTCTCTTTATTGTTCACAGGTACTCTTAGGTTGATTTTGTTTTACCCAGATTAAGTGTGGAGTTAAGGCGAGGTGACACGGCCACCTCAGACTTGTCCTGCTTTGCTGCCTCGCAGCCTGGCCGGTTCAGGCACTATGGCCGTTGACTCACCCTCTTTTACCGGCAGGATAAAGGCTAGCTGATAGTGCCTGCCTCCTCCACGTGCAGAGCGGGATAGGGAGGTGAGGGAAGAGAGGTGGCTTCTTAGGGGCAGTTTGTGATAAAAACCAGCTGCCAAGGACAGTCCTTGTTGCCAGTGCTCCCCTTCCAGGGGCTTTTCTGGGGAAACAGTTTGGAGCCCGTCTTCCCCCGTCTGCTGTCGGAGTGGTAGAAAGAGCCCAGCAAGGTTCCCTTGAACCCTGCAAGGACACAAGTGTCATCTTCTGCCTGGCCACCACCCCCTGGGCTGTCAGCAGGGCCAGCTTCAACCGGCGGTGTTTGATCAGGTCACAGGCCCAGGGCCCGAGAAGAGAAGCACGCGCGAGGTGATGCTGTCATGCAGGACTCCTGCACCTTGCGGGTCCCTGGGCCGTTGCCGTAGCCGTGCCTGCTGGTCCGCGCTGGGGGCTCGTACCCCAAGCTGGGCTCCATCCCGCTTCCACGCTGCGTTTCAGGCTGCAGAGGCTCTCGGCAGCGCTGTGGCATGATGCAGGATGTTTTGAAAATGCCCAGCTGGCAGCAGGCAAAAGAGGCTGTGGCTTTAGCAAACGGGGAGATTAACAGCAACTTCAAAATGTCACGGCAGACTTAAGCACCCACCTGCGTGTTCAGGCACTTGAATCCCTTTAAAAATCTTTTCCCGTGTCACTGAGCCGCTTGCTTTTGCCGTGACATAGTTTCTGATCCGTCTCTTTGTTACGTTCTCCTTTCTCAAGGATTTGCAGCTTATAAAAAGAGATTGGGTAGCTGGAAAGGAAAGGAAAGCTTGTGAGTCGGTGCCTCCCAGATGAGCGGCGGTGTGCTGTGTTAGAGCTGCTCTCCGCTGTAACGCCCTTCTCTGCTCTGTTCTTCCTTCCCCAGGACGCTGGTGGATGCTGCTCTCATAGCAAAGGACACAGTTGTGTGCTGCTTTGAGAACGAAAACATGGAGTGGTGCCTGGCTGTCTGGAGGGGCTGGAGTGCCAGAGACTTTGACGTTTTCTACCAGGCCTACGAAGAGCTGGGAAGGCTTGAAACCTGCATGCGAAAAAGAAGGTAGTGCTTGTGGCACTGGGAACCGAGGCTCGACGGGAGACAGAAGCGTCCTGCTCTGAGCGCGCCCGGACTCCAGGAAGAGCCCCGGCGAGGG